GCAAACGACTCGAGAAAACCAAGTGTCTCCAGTTGGCAAGTGACATCAAACTTCTCGGAGACACCGACTATGCAAAGCCGCACACCTTGGCACCCAACACGGCCGCAGCATGCACAGTGAATTCTACTGCAAGTACAAGTAGTTGGATTGGCTCCGCGTCTGCGATGACACTGGGGAGGACGTACGGACGTACATCTCCATACCTGTTCTGGTTTGACCATCAAGGACTATGCAGCTATGCAATTCGTTTCTCAGAGTGTATCTACAAGACTTTGTGTGGAGCATTGAACAATTAGTCTTCACCAGATTGTCATCAAATGACAACGTGACCATTTTAGAGCTAGGAGCAAGGATGCTACTAGGGGCTCCTGGCCTTACTACTAGGAACAAGAAGCTACTAGGGCTCCTGGCATCGCTACTAGGAGCAAGGACGCTACTAGGGGCATCACTGCCATCATTCAACACAGCTCCGCTCAGCTCCGAGACTCTCATACGATTGCCGTGCTTTCAGAACATTGTCACGACTTTCTCCATCTGTCTGTTCAAAGAGCTAGAGACGGCTCCTTCTATGAATACGGTTTTGAAACCAGCATTCCTGTGAATCAACTGAAAGCAAATTGGCAGTAAATTGGATGTTGTGGTTTCAGTCAACATGTGCTCGACAAACCATTGCCATGTATGAAATGAGTAGCAGGTAGATTGACAATAAGTGACCATAGGATTTGACTGGACAGTTCCCTGAACGATTCTGAATGGCACCACTTGTGAATCCAACTGCACACCAAAGTGCAAAAGGAATTCTGTCCAAATGCCACCAAGTTTTGTGACAACGTTTTGTTGCTGCATGTGGCCAGTGAGTTGTAGATTCACCTTATGACCTTGATTGAGCCTGTAACTTCTGATCTTTTTCTCTTTCAACCTTTAGACCTTTCTATTTCATTTTCTGGCCCGGGAAGGTAGGCCGCGAAGAGGTAGCTAGTAGAAGAGGTACTACCTTGCTTAAGCTACTAGGAACTGGACGCAGGATATATCACGCTTCTTCAAGGAAGCTCCCCCGCCTTAGGGCGGGGGGAGCCTTGAAAGAAGCGTTCGCACTATCTATTTGGTTCGTAGAATTTTAGGGAAACTTACTTAGTAAGACTTACTAAGCTGCAAAATATTCTGGTTGTCTCACTTGTTGTCTTATGTACCTACGGTAACTTAACCATGAAGTATAACAAATTCAAGTCTGATACACAGGTGTACTCAAGTCAAGGGACTGAGGTCCTGCGCCAGGTTGAAGAGATTGTAAAGCAACGTTTGTCGTGCCATGTTGCAGAAGTGCTCAAAGCGATCCAAGATAATCACCACTGCGCTTTCGCGGTTGAAGCTCTCCTACATTTCAATCGTAGATTCGTGAAACTGGCATAGGAATTATGCGGGAATGGGACACTTATATAATGACAAACAACTGCACTCTTCCACTGCTTTCACACGCTTCTTACTTTGAATCAATGAAGTTGTCATGCAGAACCAGGCCATCACTATGCTACAACCTGGGAAACACAGCCCCTCCTTGAGGATGCAGCGAAACCACTCCATAGAGCCTTCGAATGAACCGTTCTGTGGACTTGTCATGAGCTGCCCCGCGATCTGTTGCGCCAGGTGCCGCAAGCACTCAATGTTGGAGGAATACATGTCCTCAAATCATCTCGATTTTAGGTGCTCACATATTCACACTTTTGTTTTTCGGACCCCAAACAAAGCATGGCCCAATTCTTGCTAGAATAGTCATGAAATGTAATGAATTGAAATCACAACAAATCAAACCAAACACAATACGATGCGGGGCCGTCGAGACGCGTCAACACTCCACTTTTAAATATGTAGGACATCGAAAAGATATTCCCTAAAAATCTAGGAACGACATGAATAGTGCGAGCCCTTCTTTCAAGGAAGCTCCCCCCGCCCTCAGGCGGGAAGAGCTTCCTTGAAGAAGAGTGAGCTATCCTGCGTCCATACTAGTAGCTCAAGTAAGGTACTAGCTACCTCTCCCTTACTCAATTAAGTAGGGATGGGGGGGAGCGGGCATCCGCCCCTTTGCCAAGTTTCGCCCCGAGCTCGCAGGGTGATGATGGAGTTGTTCTCCTAGACTCACCCCGACGGATGAGCAATACCATGCATGACGGATGTCCGAATGCGGTTTAGTGAGCTGGGCTGTGGGCAGATCCAAAATCATCCAAACTACAAAGTATTGCAACTCAGTGGACTAATCTCAACATCGTGAAATCCATGAAAGAACAAAAAGGCATCTGCCAGAAAAACCAGTGTATTTGCCTTGAGAAGGCTGTGGCTGAAGCGTGCACTGATCAGAATACATTTCCGGTTGAACCGGCTTGCCTTTCTCGTACTGGAGCCACTGAACCTCTGGGCCTTAGACATTGGAATTCTGCTAGCTTCAAGTCCTGTACATGTCAGATATGGTGTGAAGTTCGAAAGTTTCCTCCTTGAGCTTCTGCAAACACCAATCGACGGCCTGGGTCTTGCCGCTTCCAGGCTCGCCCAGCAGCAGCAAACTCTTGCTTTCCTGGCACTGCGAGCATCATATCATACTTGCTTTCTTTTCCAACTGCTGAACCAAACAGTTAACTCCCTAAGTTCACCAACTGTTGCATCTTGGCCAGGCAATGGTGCACAACACGGCAATATGTCGGCATAGCACTTGTACCATCGTATGCCCACCGTGCCCACATGTCTGGAAACATGACAACGCAGCAACAACTAAGAACAAGGGAACCTGCTCCAAAGCCTGCCCTGGAGCAAGCCAGCATGTCACTGTGACCCGTGTGAGCATGTCAGCATAAAAATATCTGCAAAGTTGCTGCGAAGCTTGCTCCAGTCCCTGCAACCTGTCCCGGAACCTGCTCCGGACCCCGAAGTCTTTACTATGGCTGAAGACCCCCAAGGTTTGCTGTCGGGGACATATCCAGGAACTATTGTTATCATGGATGATCCCTTCATGCCAAGATGCTGCAGACTCGCCGCCCAGAACTCTCTTCATGACCTGCAAGACCTCCGAAGAAAAGAGTGGCTGGTGCGAAGTGTGTGTGTGTGTGTGTGTGGGTGTGCGCGTGCTGTTTACTCGGTTGGTGTCGCTCGAGACACCTAGGTAGTGGAGAGACTTGGATCCAATTGGAAAATATCGGGAATATCCAACATTGCAAAAATATCATTAGTACCGTCGGAGTACCTCCATTCTTTTTCTCACACTCAGTGCCTTCTGGCAAAGCTCCATTTTCTCAGAGAAGAGCGTGGGATCGGCCCAGCGAGCACTGAGCAAGCGCTCGGCTTGTTGAAGTTGCGCCTGGTTCTTGCATAGCCTTGGTCCGAGTCGGACTCGAGTGTTTCCACGCGTGCCCTCGGCAAAGTATGCAAAACTCATCCAACACCACCGCTTTGGTTTGGTTTAAGGGGGTAGGCCGCTAGAGGTGAGGTAGTAGCTAGAGGTAGCTAGTAGAAGGTAAGTAGCTAGTTCCTACAAGTAAGCTACTACTAGCATGGACGCAGGATGGCGCTCGCACTATTCAATTGGTTCCTAGATTTTTAGGGAAACTTAAGGTTGGAGGCCATCGCTAGTTAGGTTGGAGGCACTTCACAATGCTTTACTTTAACAGCGTTTCCAAGGTCAATTGTCCAACAAAAGCTTGGCGAGTGACATACTGTGCCCCACAACAACCGAATCTGAGCCCCTAGAAACCTTTCAAGCTGTTCTCGATTGCAAAGCAGAAAAGTGCGGCTACGTGGCCATGCTTCCAGTTGGCGTCTCCGCTGGTCGGGGTTGGGCTCGCTGCTCAACGGCCTCAGCCTAGGATCCGCAAGAATTTCTTGTTTAATGGGTGAAAGACTGGATATGCTTTGCTCAAAGCCAGACCCTGCAACATTCATATTTTGCTCCGGCCGGTCTTCTTGAGAATAGCAATGTGGATCCCAACAAGGCCTGTTTGCAGGAATCCAAAGTTGCTTACAGCAAGCGTACGGACTGCGCTTGGCTAACTTCTCTAACTAATTACAATGCTTGCTTGTGTTCCTCTTGGCCGACCTTCATTCCGCTGCATTCTAAGGTGTTCAACCTAATTATTCGTTTTTGCGTCCAACCAATTGTGGAAAAGACCTTCCAACCTGTTGGCAACTTGAGCAAGTTGGCAACACCAACATGTTCAACTTGCGATACACGAGAACAGGGTCACATATTTGGCGTTTACACCTCTGAGGCCGAAACCGCTTTCGCGGAGTGGTCTCCATGTTGCAAACAGCTGCGGTTTGAACCGTGGGCACCAAAGGCGATCTTGACTGAAATAAGAGCATGTCACACATGTTGTTTATTTCTGAGCCCTAATTACACTTGGAATGGCACATTCAACCAAGAAAGTCGCTGCATATAAACCTTGTCTGTTTTTGAGGTTGGGGAATTGGAGGCGCTATTTATTCTGCCTGCTGGATGTTCTCTCAACCTAATAACGATGGCCTCCAACCTAAGGGTGATGGCCTCCACCCTAGTAGTGATGGCCTCCAACCTACCTGGATGTTCCCTCAACCACATGCTGTTTTCTTGCCTCTAAATCAAGACATTTGGAACCCAATGACCAGGCAAAACTGAATCGCTCGGGCCAGGAAACTCTGACAAAACCAGACCTAGCCTCCCAGAGCAATGAAAACGGGAAGACAACGTTGTGTTGACATATGTCCACGTATTCAATTTCCCATAGCAACTCAGGCCCTGCAAGTATCATATGGCCCAGCAAGCTCGGATCGATTGCTCCAGAGTCGAATGTCCGTGGACAACAAATCCAATAATTAATTGACCCGTTAAAGCTTTTGCAAACTACCAGCACCTCTTGAAAGGGCCAATTGGATTTGTGCCTGGCCAAATGACGTTGTTCCCTCCTTCAACTCAAGATCGTACGCAAATCAATATGAAATAGCCCCGGGGCCCAGAACCTTTGTACCTGCTCCAAATGCACCTCTCGCTTGTTGAAGAGCCAAAGGCTGACGAAGTTTGAGGCCAAGCAAATACCACCGTCCAGGGCCATCCTGGCTGATATGCTTCTCATTGAAACAGAATGTCACGAGTCAAGACATGCAGCGATGTCATTGCTCCTTCCATCATTCTTGTTTCTACTAGCTTTTTGTTACTAGTAGTAAGGCACTTGTTACTACTAGCGTGGCACTTGTTACTAGTACCCGATGGCAAGATGTCTCAAAACTCGCATCTTGGGAGGCGTTTCGTGCTTCACTGAAGAATTTAATTAGAAGCTACTAGTAACAAGCGCCACGCTAGTAGTAACAGGTGCCTTACTAGTGGTAACAAGTTACGAATTTAATTAGAATTCTAGGAAGCTCCTAGGAATGATGTGTTTAATTCGTTTCCAACCATCTTGCGGACGGCGCAATTTGTCATGACATAGGTTTGACTCATGAGCCATTCTCTTTAGTTGCATGTGGATTTTGAGGTGTACCCTGAATTTGAACCTGGAAGCATGGCAATTTGCCAAGTCTGACTCCGTTGTCTCATGCAACGTTTCTGCAACCCCCGCAACTGAAACGACCTCCTAAACCAGTGTCCCGAGTGTTCTCACAATGTCTTCCGGGACCTCTCAGCAAGCCCGGACAGTTGACTCATCGTTCACCCCAAGCAACAGTATATAACAGTATGCAACATCAGTCCGAGTCACGTGCTTTCATTGTTTACTTGCCACAAACAACTCAAACCCTAATCACTTCGTCTTTTGAAACAGTTTGTCCATGACATGTGCTTGTTTCTCTGCAGTCAAGTCCGATCTTGAAGGCGAGTCGGATAGTGGCAAATCCTAAGTCAGTCGTTCTTTTCAAAACGTGCTGGACGTGTTCTGGATATATCCCAGATGCCACAAGGCATCCCGCCCGCCACAACGCGCCAGCATGACAATGTTGCAACGGCAACACAAGGAGAGCTGAAGTTCCTGGATATGTGGACGCCTCTTTTTAGTACTGATGCGTTTGGTGGGATCACAAGTTTGAATGACAAAAAACAGCGACAAACAAGCACACTCCCTTGCAACAATGGTGTTGTCCTGCAGGCAACCACAAACTCGAGGAGGGAAGGTATTGCCAAGGTAGCACCGTTGATGATGTAGAACTCGGAGGAGGTCCGTCAGAGCAAGGGAAACCCCACGGCCAGGGTCTCTGTCAAAGTATCTCTCTTTGGACAACTATGGTTGAAACAGTTGAGCCAAGGTCGAAAGGTCAAAAGAGAAAAAGCACATATTGGCAACAGAAATGGACCTGTCCTGCTCATAATCTGTTCTTTAGACCCTGCTTCTTTTTTCAAGTTGTTTACCAAGTTTACCTAAATTTTCCATAACTCATTGTGGCTGACAAGGCAGGGAGGCCTCAGAAGATGAAGCAAGAAAAGAACCAAAACCAAAGAACCAAATGTACTTGTGGTATGTCGTGGTCTGCGCCCTACCAGCCCTAGCCGCTCTCTGGATTTGGTTGCAAGGCTGTCACAAGAATGCCAATCTACTGTAGCTGGAATTACTTTAAAACTGGAGCGGGGTAGGCAGTGCGGTGAGCTCGAGTAAGCCAAGTAAGAGGGGTATAACTGGCAAGTAGCTGGCTGCTGCGCCGCTAGGATTGCGCAGAGGGAATTAGGTTAACCTAAACTCCTGATCGGGGCAAACTTTAGATGTTGCAGGTTTGGTCGAGACCTGTTTGGTTTTCTAGGTCAAGTTTACGACTGACGCCAGTTTGCTGTCTTCTCCATGTCTCCTTGGCCAAAACAGTGCACTCCGCATAAAGTGCTGTGGTTCCTTCTTCACCCAATATTTGCAGATTCATCGTGGAAGTACCGCACAAAGCTTTCGCGATTGGTGCATTCAACCACCCCTGAATTGAATGCGTCCCACACAAGTGGGTTACGGGTGCTTCCGAAGGTGTGAGGTTGCAGTCACCCAAGCATCATAGGTCACTGGAAATACTTGAATCATTTGCAAATCTGCAAACATAGTACTGTAGATGTACAGAACGGAATGCTGCCGCTGCACCGCACAATCGAAGGTATTGCATCTCGCCCCGTTTCCAGGCCACGCCTGTGCCGCAGCCTCCCTAAGGGTGCTATGCGCCTGCGACTGGGCATCTGTGAAACGTCAAACAATGTGGGTCTTAGTAGCTTCTTGTTCCTAATAGCTTCTTGCTCCTAGTAGTACGGCCAGGAGCCCCTAGTAGCGTCCTTGCTCCTAGTAGCGATGCCAGGAGCCCCTAGTAGCTTCTTGTTCCTAGAGGTAAAGCAAACTTAAAGTTGCCACAACCTAGATTCACTGCAGCACCTCGAAAACCACGGACACTTAGAAACAACAAGGAGCTCAACCAATCCTTCCAGCAAATGTTCACTCAATACATTTGTCAATAAATCATTCATGAACGGACGGAATCACAATGGATCAAAGACCAAACCTCAATAAAGCTTTTTTTGGGGGGGTAGGCCGCTAGAGGTGAGGTGGGAAGCAGCTAGTAGCTAGGGAGTCGCTAGTAGCTTACTTAAGCTACTAGGAACTGGACGCAGGATAGCTCACGCTTTTTCAAGAAAGCTCCCCCCGCTCAGTCTTTGAGCTTTCAGCTGCAGCCTTTCTAAGTGGCTTTCGCTTTGAGCTACCGGAAGGCACGATTTGCACACTCCAGGCATACGCTGCGGTCATCCGTGCGGCAATTTCGTTCTGCAAGGCCAAGAACTATGTAGTTGCACCCCTTCTTTTGGACAAGGGGAATAAGTGTAATGGGAAAACATTCCCCAAAGGTGCCTTCTGTGGAGCTGAGGTCTTCCTCGAAAATAAGACCTTAGAGCTTTTGTCTCGTGCCTTTGAGAGAGGGGCCAAAGCAACCCCTCACTCGTGGGCCCTGCCTTTCGACTCACTGTTGTGATTCAGCGACACCTGTACAGCTGGAACCTTGACCGTTGTCGCGGAAGCACATCGGTCGCTGACGACCCAGTTGTCCGGCAAGAGAGCAAAAAAAAGAAAGCTCCCCCCGCCCTAAAGGCGGCGGGGGGGGAAGCTTCCCAGCAAAACTTAAGCTGGTCAGCAAGATCAACTTGGAGAAAACACCAAAGACTTGTGGAAAACCAAGCATAGGGCCTGTGTGCAACATGTCTGCAGGCATGCACAGTTGTACACACCTCAAACAAACACTCGATTCTATAAACCACAACAGTGCCTTTTGTCCAAACCTAGTAGCGATGGCCTCCAGCCTAAAAGAACATTGGCCTCCAAATACTTGCTTGTCACGGAGCCTTGGCAAACTTTTGAGTGTTGCCCTTGGTGACCTCCAAACCTTCCCTGCCGAAAGCAAGAGCACTCGAGGGGCAATTGCATACAGCAAAGGCAAGGCAACAGTGATAGCAAATCGTGTCTGAGAGAATTTCTCCAGTCGGTTGCGAGGACACACTTGAAAAACATAGTCAAACTGACATGATCATTGAAGACTGTTGACGACTATGAATTTATTGGATGAATGATGGACTCTGGTACAATCCACCGTCCATGAACTCAGTCTGCTTTTGTCTGTATCGGTCCTGCGCCACTCATTGTTCTCTGCGGCCTGCTTTTGGGCCTGAGACGGAAGAAACAACCCGCAATTACCAATGAAGCAACCGAAGCATCAATCATCGAAAGCATCAAGCACAAAACAAGCTGGGAATGACAGCCAAGAAAACCGGCTCTCACCATGGATGATAGAAAAGAGAAGGCGTAGTAACCTAGTAAGGTGTTACGTCCATGCCCTAAGACGAGCCTAGTAGGGTTCTTGATGTGCAAGAGAGGACTGTCTTGACATGTCTTGACTGTTCAACACGTGTTACGTAGAGATTCCGGAAAAACAAAAGCCGTGCCGATTCTTATTTTAAAGTCACACTGTAGTTGCCAAGTTCTGCACAGGAGATTCCAGCAAGGCAGGGTCATCTTCATACCTCACAGCATTGTGCACGAGCAGAAAGCCCAGGAATTTGCAGGAAACTTTTTGTTGTCCAATTCCTTGGGACGGTATTGTTCGGGGACTTGAGGGAACTACTTCAAAGTGTTCACAAACAACCAGGATGCCAAACCACTCAGCAAACACTTGGCTTTGAGAAACTCTTGAACCTGCAGGGTCTACCCGCAAAGAGCGATGGCCTCCAACCCAAGAGCAATGGCCTCCAACCTAAAAGCAATAGCCTCCAACCAGTTTTTGCAATGGTGAGCAAAGCGCTTGTAGCCGCTTGTATGATCACTTTTCTCGGATGCGATCCGATGATGGTCATCTATACTAATGTGTCCTCTCTGCAGCCTGGGCACTGTGCTGCCCAATCTTCCATGGCTAAACCGCAGCACAAATGAGCGGTGGCAGTGGCATGTACTTGATACAAAACTCAAATACACTATCTATATCTATATCTATCTATTATGTGGGGGCCCTATCTCGTTTAGGCTACTTTAATAGGAGGTCATGTCACAGTATCTCGTTCAGACGACTTTTCTGTCACAAAAAAGCATGTCGTTTATGTGGGGGCCATATCTGGTTCACCAGTGAATACTGATGTTGGACAAACAAATAGAGCATACCGTAGACTACTTTATATAATCAAGACCTAAATAAAGGTGGTTGCTCAAAATGTGTCCAGTGTCTCTGACCCAAAGACCATTGCACAACACAACACACGAACGATGATCATCTTGAATACGCACTGATGTTCAGCTGGAGGCTTCGACCTGCTGATCAGGTTTGAAACCTCTGGTTTTGCTTATGTATATAACTTATGTAACTGTTTTGCTCTTATGGGAGAAAACAAATGCATATCTTCTAACTTTGCAGATCTTAAACTGGTAACTGTAGATGTGTACACTAGAAGGCCCTGTCATTTCCAGAGCCAAACCTTTTGAAGGAAAAAACACTAGCTCTGTGAATGAGCCGCAAGAGTCGAATTTCGTTACTTTTAAGTTTTGTTGTGCTGGTCGTTTCTGCAGTGTTCCCTATAGTCTTGCCGTGTATCAACGTTTGACGAACTGAGTTTGGCGCTCTGGAGCGCTGCTAATGGAAAAACAACCAAGCCATATTCATAACGGTTTGTGAATTATATACAGCTGCGATTGGTGGTCGTCACTCTAGAATGGGGGCCACAGTGTCGCAGGAAACCAAGATGTCAATAAATGTTTGATGAAGTGCTCAAAGATGCATGCTGAAAGGTTTTGCTTGGATCTAGCAAGAAGATGGACTCCAGGATTTCATTAAACAAATTAGAAGATTTGGCTTGGATTGGCTGACACGCAATCAACTGAGAACAGTTCATAGAAACCACACCAAACGCCTGATCTTCTGATAGACACCAGAACAGTTGAGCGAGTTGTGATTTTGCCAAACACTTGACTTGACCTGTTTGTATGGGTATATATGGCTCACTCAGTTGGGTTTGCTTGAAGCTGCAACATGTTGTAGAAGTCTCTTGGCCCAGCTACTCACTTCCGTGACAAAATGGATACGCTAAGTCGCAAAGTGGTTTGTGTGATGGGGGTGTTCCGGTTCTATCCGGTTCTTATGTTTATGAATGTTGCCACGTGCTTGGTTGTTGGGTGAAGCGTTGCTGCCCCTAGTAGCACCTTGCTCCTAGTAGCGATGCCAGGAGCCCCTAGTAGCGTCCTTGCTCCTAGTAGCGTTGCTGGGTGGTTGAACAACTACTTTTGCCATGTTGGCATGGATGATGGGCAAGGGCGGCTGTATTTTTGTCAAATCTTGCAAGCTAGTGGCTGCAGGGTGCATTTGCGTTTTGATGTCAGGCTTGCTAAATCATAATTACAAGCTGGCAATGCAATCCTGTTTGTTCCTAAAACTCTTGCAAACTCAAAGCATCTTTACGCTGTGACCGGAACTTGGAACGCGGATTCCAATCTGAGGTGCTGGCATTGGTTTGATCTGCGGCCGTCACTTGCACCTGAGAAGTCTTGAAGCGTATCCCTATGAACAAACAAGCTCCGATGGTTTCTTATGGTTTCAACATGGCCAGTTTCAGCCAACCAACAGCACCGACTTGCATTTCTCGAGCGGTGCAGACGGTGTAAACGGTGTAGACGGTGTAGACGGTGTAAACGGTGTACCGAAGAATCGTGGACACTGATTGCGCCAGCAAAGCATTTCTCAGTAGTTCGTGTTCCCGCAAGCTTTATATAGACTTCTCACTGCAGGGCCCCGGCCCCATGGAAGCCAGCAACAGGGTCGCCCAAGAAGACAACCTTTCCAACAACATAGCGGTCACTGGGACGGTGGCAGAACGCAAGTAGGAAGGGAGACGTTTGACGGAGGTTGAGGGGTTGGAGATGATAACTCTCCAGTGGCAGCGACAGAAAAATGGTTTGCCCCCGAGGGAGGCCCATTCTTCAACAACCTTAGGAGCTCGGACGCTACGAGGGGCTCCTGGCCTTACTACTAGGAACAAGAAGCTACTAGGGGCTCCTGGCATCGCTACTAAAAGCTTTCATTGGCCGCCGCGGACCAAAGGCAATCCTTGAGCTGGACACGTGCCTTGAAAGGTCCATTCAGGAACGCCAGGATCATGACTGTGCCGGACCTAAGCAGCGACTCAACGTGGAGATATCTGACAAAGGCCCCATGTGGCAAGCTAAGACTGGTGCAGCTTTGTAAGACTCTAGTCTGCAGCTTTGTTTGCACAAAATCTCACAAGGCTGTTGAGCCCACCAGGCTTCACCGCTTCACCGCTTCTGCTGTTACAGCGATGCTTGGCACTACAAACTTCTGCTGTTGCATCATGCTGCATCGCATTTATCTGTGGAGAAAGCGTGTGTCAACATGCCTGGTATTGGGAAGCTAGCGGACACGGGGCATCGTTGTTGCAGTGTTGAAAAGCTGGGAATTGCAATCGAACATATTGAACAGCAAAACTCCCTCGTTGTTGTTGGCATCAGTGGTGGCGCCATCGCTGACCTTGGACATGGGCCGATGCACATCCAATAGAACAGTGAAGCTTGTTTGCCTTTACTCACCAAACAACAGCAGCAACGTCGAACATTGGCATGCAAACAAATATGTAGACACTGGTACAGTAACCCAAATCTCTTCGGATGTGCTGGGTATATCACCTCACTAGTAGCTTCTTGTTACTAGTAGTAAGGATGCTCCTAGTAGTACGGCCAGGAGCCCCTAGTAGCGTCCTTGCTCCTAGTAGCGATTCCAGGAGCCCCTACTGGCTTCTTGCTCCTAGTAGCTCACCTTATTGTTGATGTGGGAACTTTGTGGACATGTTTGAGCTTGCTCCTAGTGCATGTTTGTACTTTTCAGGCAGTGTAAAACTCGGCACGCACAGAGGTTGCCTACATCCTTTCAAAACCAAAGAATCCTAGAACCAACGGAAACCTAGTTGAACATGTGGTCATCAACGGAGTTACCATGTCGTCTGTCAGGTTGTGCCCCACACGATCAAGTCGATTGAGTCTTTCTCCTTTGCACAAACTGTCGAAAATCGAGCTACTTCGCCCGACGCCTTTGATGTGCCACAATTCTATCTCCACTCTTTTAAACACTCCTTTTTTAAGGGGGGTAGGCCGCTAGTAGAGGTGAGAGCTAGGTAGTAGCTAGCTAGAGGTAGAGGTAGCTAGGAGAAGAGGGAGATTGCGCCTACTTAATATTAAGTAAGACACTCTAGTAAGCTATTATGGTACAGGACACTCCTACATATGGATGCCGAATAGCTCACGCTCGCACAAATGATTGGGTTCCTAGATTTTGAGGGAAACTTAACATATCTCCTTCAGCAAAAGCTGGGCTCAAGTTGCAAGGTCAGCAGCAGGTAGGTGTGCTGCTGCCACCCAGCTAAGGCAGAGTAAGAACATTGAGATTCAGGAAGGTCGTTCGACTTGCCAGGCTTGGACGCGCATTGGAGCACTGACCAACTAGTAACTAGCATACAATGCTCATTATACATGCAATCAAATTCCTGCATCCAACCTACTAGCGATGGCCTCTAACCCAATAGGAATGGCCTGCAACCTAATAGGAATGGCCTCCAACCTAATAACAAACACTGCTACATATGCTATCAAATCATGCGTCTCTACATGTCTTTACCTGGCATAAGCTGTAATTAGCCAGTCCACGTGTCCAACCCCAGTATCTGAAGGGCCGATCTGTCTGGGAGCTGGGACAACAATCTCGCGGCACTCATTGTGCGTTGACCCAAGTTCATGTCTTCTGAAACACTCTTCTTGTAAAAACGGTGCTAAATGCTTAAAACAAGACTAAACAAGTTGGATGCTGTTACTGTAAGTGTTTTTCTTTCTTTTCGTATACTTCTTATTGACCTTCGCAGCTTTGCTCTGGTCCGTCCCAGTTCCAAGCTCGTGCTCGCTGCATTTGGCAAAACATGCCAAGTGCGCCGCAGTGGTCGCTCAGTCGCGACGGAAAAGTCGGGAGGCCTCTCAAGTTGGACTCTTCTAGGAGCAAGGATTGGATGCTATTAGGGGCTCCTGGCCTTACTACTAGGAGCAAGGACGCT